CCGGTAGCGCGGTTGCCCGGTAGCCCCCCCCTCCGGCTCCTTACCTTGTTCTGCGTTGCAGTGAGAGTCCGCCATCTTGCCATTTGAGCAAATTTAAATCACTCTGGAATTTGGAAAAAAAAAAAAATCAGGGGTTTTCAAAACATTTAGGGAAAACAAGTAAAAGTTTTTAAATGACATTTAGTCTTTCAAATCTTCATTTTAAACTGTAAACAAGGAAAAAAGTACAAGTAGCTTATAACTGTACTTATAATATAGAATGAATATGACTGTTTTAAAAATATAAAGTAAAATTTAGGGGGACATTATCGCTTTAGGAATGCTTTTATTGTTGAATATGTTTCTGTCAGCACTTTGAGTCAGACTCTGTCTGACTCAGAGTGCTTGTCAGGGGTTTTTCTCAAATACAACATTCAGCACAAATATTAACAATTGTAAACATAAAACAACTGCACATTACATTGCACTAATTAGATATTACAAAGCTTGCCACTGCTTTTCTGACTGATGCTGAGCCCAGTTCTGTTCTCTACTTTTGCTATCAGCATATTCATCAGCGCACACACTAACCAGTAGGATGACTAAACATTTAGGTATGGTCATTTTCATGGGACAGAGAGATGTTTGGAATGATTTATTGTGTGCAAAAGTTTCTAAAAAAGCCTTTAAGAGAATGTTTTCCTGGTACAGCTATTGAAGGCTCAAAAGTAGCAAAGAACAATGAAACCCATACAACTTAAACCAATGTTAAACCCTTTCTAATGAATATAAAGAGAGAGAAATATATATCTAAACAATTTGTGCTAAAGACATCCAGTTATCCCAATACACATTGCTGGAGATGGCATTGATTCACATTTCATTTGGAATTCTTCCAGGCATCCCGCATTGATTTTTCACCAGTTGGTGAGATATGAAATGTGCCATTTTGCATTATCACGTCTCTGCCTCTTCCACACTGTTGTTCACTTGGCATGCAGGTGTTCCTGCCTCACACACATTCACACGGAAAAATATGTGAACACAGACATTCAGAGCTTCTGATAATGACATGTGCCGACAAGAGAGGCAAGACAGAGTTAAAGTGCTACACTCTCCTCTCAATGAACAGCTGCCGTTGAAATCCCAAGAGGAAGGCATTTCAGTTTAAACTGCTCGAAAACTCCATTCACTGGTCAACAGTGGTGAGCTGTGATTGCACTAAGCAGCTTCCAGGTGTGAAGGCATGGCAGCAGAGTTGCAAACAGCATGCACTGGAGCTCTGAGGAGGCTTATTTGACAAAGAAAAAGAGAATAACACAAGAAAAGGAGTACAACAAACAGCAGCTGTCTACATTCAGTTAAAGCAATGATCTCATGCACTAAGTGCTCACAGTTGAGAAGGGGGCATATAAGAACGTACAGATTGGCTGACACAAGACGTGAACTGGAGGAGGGGAGAAAAAGGGGTCTGGCTGTGGCCTTTTAACTCAGCCAAAAGGATTTGCCTCCTCCTCTCCAAGACTCCTCAATCTTTATGGCTTTTTTTTCCTGTTTTTTTTTTTTTCTTGCTTTGGCCATTTTCACTGTCTAGAGAATTCGGGATTCTTTCACTGAAAATTGATTTTACAAACAGCTCTTCAGAAACATTAAAACATGTGTGCTGATGTGGTTTGCAGACTGTTTGTCAGGTACGCTTAACATTCGATAAATCACCAATGCTGAATTTAAGTATTCTCTGTTGAAATCATGTCTGTCTTAGCATCACCAAAACAATTCATGGTTATGAGTTCAAGTGATTTGGCTCAGTTTAGCTGTAAAACGTTTCCCCGCCCATTCCTGATGAATGAGCCATGGATGATGTGAAGGGTGACAGACCAAGTAGTGTGGCAAAGTAAAGCCTTTTCCCCCTTACTGAATTTCACTAGGGGCTCATATATCAACATTTTCAGCCAGATTAGTCACCAATTTGGTATCAATCCACGCAGAGGAAACTTTTTCCATTTTCATAGCATTTCATTATGAAAACTTAAATTTGTCATCATCTCCTTGCATGGCGGCTAAATACAGTTATTCCAGAATGTTAATTAAGTAAAAACCGCTGACTTATGTATCTCTTTTCAAACTGCACAGCTACAAGTTTGAGAATACTTTAGGAACACTGTCATAGTCTATATTTCCTGCAGCTGCTCTCATTTAAACGAATAGTTCACACCTGCTAATGAAGTTCAAACCCCATGCAGTTTAGATAGCAAAATAGCTTATAACATCTGAAATCAATCCATTTAAAATGAGATGTGTGTGGCTTGATGCAGATTGATTTGCGAGCAAGAAAAACAACATAAACTTGCCAGTGCACCTGCTGAATAATATGTCGTTTACCTGTCCATCCGCCTCCAGGAGCGCGCTAAAAGTAAGAAACAGCGCTAAGAGCGTCCCGCATGCGGCTAAAGCCATAGTGAATGTGGCGCTCTGCTGCTGTGGAGCGGCTCAACAGCTGGATGCGGAGGGCTGGAACACACCAGCCCTCCTCCCCTCTGTCGATGGGAATCCTGCTGTTCATTCTGACCTGCTGTTTATCAAGAAAAAAAAACCCAGGAATCCATAACCCTCCTAAATCAGCTACAATTTTAATCTGCTGCTGCACGCTCTATTAAATGGAAAACAAAAGCAACTTCTTAAATTACATTTAAATTCAATCTGGATTGATAATTATAAATCCCGATGTTTCTCAGTTTCTCTTGGTATTGCACTGTTTCATTTATTTTTCAAAGTGATAATTGAACAAATGTCTCCCTCTTCAGTTAACACATACATTCATTTAAAGGAAAGTCAGACGAAACCGAATTTATGTTAAAACGGCTTGCCATAGGAAGCCACAATCACGATCTGACCCACAGATATTAATGACAGATTTGCAAAATAGCAAATGGGGGCGTGAAATGTATGATTATTCATTTGGAGGGCGTAACAGAAAAATGAAGAAATACTGCATTAGACTGACCTTTTTTTTTCGTTTTCTGTTTTTTTTAACCAGTTTACTGGTTACTTGAAGTTCCCCCCGCGACCCCATCAGGGAAGAAGCGGTATTGATAATGGATGGATGGATGGATGGATGGTTACTTGATGCCATATTGCGGGATATTGCGGGAGCATTCTGTAGTTACTTTATAATCCGCTTGAGGGCAACAATTATCTGCATAATTTTGATCTTTGGTTTCCTTCGACAAAAAACAGTTCATCTTCATGTTAAAGTTGTGTTGGTCCAAGTGGTCGAAACATAATCTCCGATAAATTCTCTGAAGTTATTAAATAAGGCTGCAGTTATTATTTCCAATGGTGAAACTAAGACCCTTCACAAAACATTCAAGAACATATGAGTAAGTCATGTTAATAAAATATTTAATTAATCTGGATCCAGATAATTAGTACATCTAAATATATTTCTTTTGCAGATAGGATTCAAGGAGATGCATTATTTCCATGTCACATGTTAAAGAAGGGGTTAAATTCAATTAGTTACAGTAGTTACATAGGTAATGCTTCTGTGCAGTGTATTCATGCCTGGACTGAAGAACTTCTCTTCATTTCATCTTCAGCATCTTTCACTGTTGTTAAAAATTCACTCGATTCAACACTGAGAATAAATAATGCTCTGTAGACCAGGCCATCATATCTGACTTGTCTAAACAGTTGTGTAAATTCCATCTAATTAGTAAAGGCCTATAGGTGCTGGTGGTCTTCTTATTTCCGTTTTTATAAGGTAACCAAAACTAGCATTCTGTCAACTGACACTAAGTTTTTTCATTTGATTAATTATCAATGCTTTAACTGATTATCTACAAACTAAATTATCTTTTCACATTAGGCTTTTGTGTAACAGTAAAAGCAAGTGCAGGGGAAAGAATGCTAGTCCTCGGGATCACTGCCCTGCATATTTGAGATGTTTCCTTACTCCAAATAAGTTATTCTAATTAAATGGATCTCTCAACAACAAGTTGGGACTCATAAAATACTTCAAACAAAGATGACATTCAGAAACATATTATCCTGGATCTGGTTCCCCTAGACAAAAAAATGTAGTGCTTTATGATTTCCATAATATAAACAAACACAACACAGTATTATGTGTCCAGAACACTCGGTCCTTGAGTGTTTTGTCAAGAAGAAATAAAACAATGTCAGTGATCACACTAGTGAGTGTGTGCAGCTGTGCTGAGGGGAACAAACAGAGTAATCTCATCTGTTTGCCTCATCCCTCTCACTGAGTGGGACTGATGTGCGTGAAGGAATCAGAGCGAATATAACTCTTTTCAGCAGTTAACAGCTTGGTCAACAGCTTCTGCACCTCTGTGGGTGTATATACTGTACATTTGTATTTCCATGTCCAAACGTGCATAAAATTGCACATTTGCAGTGAGAATTATGCTGTGAGTGAGTGAATTTGGTTGTAATGATGACATGGGTACTTTAAAGATGGTGAGTTTAATTAAATATGAGAGTGCTGATGATTAATTGATGGAAGGTACACTGCTCCATGATGCTGACATATGGGAAGACTTAAGGGTGTTGATTTCCCCAATAGAGAGAAAACAGAGGATACGGTTTACAAGCACCAACGCAGTACCTTTAGAGCACAATCATTACATTTATATGTAACAGGTTAAGACATTTGTCTGTATTTTCACACACTGGTCCTTAACAGACCTTATGGAGGAAGAGTGAGATCCTCATGCTCCTATCAATTTGTTGTTGGTCTATTTTGCCCACTTTGTCTTGAAGAGGCACTCGTAAGGTCTAACATCACCTCAGAGACTTTCCTCGATGAAAAATGGAATAGAACAAGCTCTTTCTCAATCATACATTTTGTTATCAAGAGAAATTAAATGAAGTTCACTGCTGGTTATGCGTACTGGGATGCGGCCTCTGTAAACCTTTGAGAAGTGTGTTTTCTGCTGCTGTGCCTGTCACTGAGAGATTTGAGGCTTTGTGATGGCAATGAATAACTGGGCCAAGAGCTCTCCTGTTATATTTATTCATTCTATCATTCGTGTATTTAATAGAACAGTACAAGCCTCGTCAAATGAAATGAGCGTACAATAAATTAAACTGAAATAAGTTAAACAAGGAAATGAAACCGAACTGGTAAATCAATCTTAAATCCAGTGGGAGAGAAAAACATGAATTTTTAAATACAAATGCATATAAAAAATGGAAATCCCAAAAACCAAATACACAATATTTCTCTGTTTTCATTACTATAGCATTCTCACTACATAAATGTATAATTTAAAAAAAAGTCGGGGAAAAAAAACTCAGAGGGGTCACAGATCTGAAACAGCGAGTCCAGTAGTATACATTGTGCTTTCAGCACATTTGTTTACACTCTAAGTGTAGCAAGGTTTAGTGTCACACATGCACCAGGTTACATCAGGAGGTAGGAAGGAGGAAGCTGTGCAGGAGGATCAAAGGGTCCCGGGCAGGAAGGTCACAGCGTGGAGTCCCGACAGAGGACGATCTCCATCTCAGTGCGGTACAGTTTCCCTCCATCGGACAGAGCCATGATGCTCTTCTTGTAATCCACCAATCCGGTGGAGTCCACGTCCTGCCAGTAAAGTCACAGGCACAGAGTCAGTGGAAAATTCATCACAGCAACAAGAAAAGGCTCCACTGTCTCACAACTATAAATGGAAAGAAGAAAGGTAACCTGTACTGATCAATAAATAGGGAAACTATTCATTACCATTTTGTTCTTGTCACAGAGGTCCTTCAGCAAAGCATCCAGCTCCAGCTCATCAATGTAACCGTTACCATCCTGATGGTGAGAAACAACAGAGCGAGAAGACAAAGAAGCTTTGACAAATAGTACTCAGCTCTGCTGGAGTCTCTGCACTTGTCCTCATCTATCACAAAGAATGTGTATGTCAAGCTAGTATAAAGTTGTTGTGTTGACCACTTTTCTCACCTTTGAAACAATTAGTAAAAATTACATTTGGATTCAGTCTTCCCACTACAGGTGAGTAAAACACTGAACTTGATTTTTACAAAAAGTTTTTAAGATACTTTGAATAAAACTGTGTATGGCCTCCTGGACATTATGAGCGCGAACATGCAGAAGCATTGGACTGACAGACAGATGTATCCATAATGCTGCCAATATGACTTGGACAAAACATTCTCTAAATATACGAGAGAATTGCAAGCTTTAACTGGAAATATGCATACAATTAATCCAGATGACAAGATCATTTAACTTGACCATGACTCCCACCAGATTGACATTTGTGAGTGAAACAGATCAATTGGTACTAAATTGATCACCATGAAATCAATTCATGCTCTCAGGGGCCATCATAGTGAGGCTGAACACCCTAAATATAGCGTACATGAAGCTGCACACAGCGTACAGAGAGACTGCTTACTGTTATTTTAGGAACCACATACTATTCAAAAATAAAAACTAAGCATAAACATGTTTTGTTCACCTGATCATAAAAAGTGAAGAGTGAATCAAACTCCTTAACGGTGAGTCTGATTCCCTGTATGTAGGAGAGAGAGAGAGAGAGAGAGAGAGAGAGACATAGAGAGAGAGAGAGAGAGAGAGACATAGAGAGAGAGAGAGAGAGAGAGAGAGAGAGAGACGGCAAGAGAAGAGAGAATTATTAGAAAATGATGGATATTTCTGGAGAGCAGTAAAAGCTCCTGATCCACATCTGATATTAATCCATGCAGATTATAATAACTTGGACTAGAGTTGAGTTAATCCACATGAAACAGACTAATCCTCAGTCCAGAGGAATTGTTGATCTGATCTAAAATCCCACCATGTAAAAATGGGAAAACATGCATGGGAATTTAAATGTGTAGCTCCATAGGGACTAACTGTACGTGTATGCTGCAAATACTGACCTCTGAATTAATTAGATAGGCTCCGTTCTTGCTTTCCTTACTTTGTTCAAAATACAACAATACTGGACTTTGAATTGAACACAAACACCATTTGAAACATTGATGTAGGCATATGTAAAGCATTAATAGACGTAAGCAGAAAAAAAAAAAAGTATTTCTGACATATTACTTTAACGTGGAGTATTAAAGCTACACTGCTTGAAGAGTGTTCCATAAAAAGAAAAACAACTATCTTATTGACGATTCAAAAACCTGAGTGGAATGCTGCTGAAACCAAGCCCATTGATTCCACTAACAGTTACAGAGTCATTTGATTAAATGTAGCATGCATAGTATGAAATCGGCCAAAAGGCAATACTGTAACTTTGGATTGGACTTATCTATAGATGTCCACATAATCTTACCTGAAACTTAAGCAGGAAGTTCTCCTGAACTGGCAACAGCCTGTGGTAAAAATTCAGAGGTCCATCAGATTTTTAGCATAGCTGCATCTTTAAGGAACATTTTTCAAATTCATCTCGTCAGCACACAAATGAAACAGGAGTGACATTCACCTCGCCATCTCAGAGAGGCCAAGCTTTCCATCACCGTTGAGGTCAAACATCCTCAGCTACACAAAAACAAAAGGAGAATATTAACAGGGAAACCCTCAGAAAAAGTTCTTACTATATGCTCAGACAAAAGATCACATGTTAAACACATCTCTTCAAGTGAGAGTAAATGGCAGCTGCTGCGTGCGCTCAGCTCACAGATGGTCCACTGACCCTGGTGGCAAGAAAAGTTTAAGCATGACAGGTGGGCTACCTGAGGCTGAGCTTATCCAAGGCTTCAAATATGTTGGTAGTTGAATAGTTTATTTCAAAACAAAGCTTTGTTAGGACTTCACTGTTACATATTTAGGACACTAAATAATTGACAAGAACAACTGCTAAAATTATTTACTTTATGTGTGTATGTATCCATATTGAATCACTATGAATATTTCAATATTTGAGCTATTTTACTGTTCAAATTTCCCCCATGATGCACAAGATGAATTTTTAACCAAAATGAAATGTTTGACATGAGAAAGGGTGTTTTACACTGATGAAAACTCACAATAGTCTGCGTGTACTCGTTGAGTTTCTTATCATCATAGTTTCTGTTGGCTTTCCTCAACAGATCGGACAGGAAACCCTGAAGACAGAGGAGGAAAAAGCAGTCAGCAATTTCACAGCTTAACTTATTCATGATTTGTTTTGTTATTCATCTCTTATCTCTTTTGTTGCCAAGCTAAACACAAAAAGACAACAAATACATGTCGTACATATCCCTTTTGTGAGGTTTCAGACATGAGAAAGGAAAAAAGTTCATCTTTTGTGCAGAAAAAGAGGTCTGAATATCTCTTAAATCTCTTTTTGCATACCCTGATGTTATGCCAAGAGTTCAGTGTTTTACCTTCAGCTCATTCGACTCGATGTACCCACTGCGGTCAGTGTCATACCTCCTCCAGGCCTGCAGCAGAAGAGTTTTGTTTCCAGCAAAGTGTGTGAACTTTCATCACAGAAACATGAGCAAAACACTTGCATGCAGAACATAGTCCAGAGAAAAGTTACTGTCAACTGGCTAAGTGTAAATCTGAATTTTACCAAGCCCCCTCTGAGAGATGGATACACAAACGCCTACAGCATACACTGACTTTCCCCCAACAGAAAGCTGGGGTCCATCTATAATGTATGGGTGTCCGAGAATAGCTTTAACTCACAGAACAGCCTGAACATCACACCATAAGTGACTCCTGAAAACGCTGTAGGCAAAGTAGGTGCACATGTGGGGGATGTTTTTCTGCTCACAATTCCTTCAACATATAACTTGCAAAAGAGGACGTTTAGAATCATAGTGTTAAACATTGTATTTAAGCTTAAACCCTGTAAACAGCAAGGAAACAATTAAATTAATTGTATAGTATTTGTTTTATGCAAAATAATAGATTAAATGTGACAGTGAGATGCCTTGCAGTGTAACTAATTTGGAAGCTGTTTTGGTGGTGTTAACTTTTAACCTGTTACAATAGTGATATATCACAAGTATGTACTTTAATATTTGAGTTTCTTTTTTGAGTAAGATAAAATATCAAACATTTTTTGAGTGATTTGAGTTTCAGGCACCAAACAAGGTTTAAATGAACCATTCACTGCATGAAACAGAGGTCACAACTTGACAATGAAGCCAAAGGAGTGGTTGGGCAGCTGAACACGTGTCCCACAGGACAGACTGTGAAGGCACGCTGGCTCCAGGCATTTGTAAGGAAATTTCACAGCTCAGTAAGGTTTATTAGTTAAGTCAGTGAGCAACTTTCCCTCAAAATGACGGGGCTCCATTAGCGAGTGAGAAAGAACAAAGGTACCTTTTTCAGTCAATAAACTGGAGGGCGTTCGATGTGCATGAAAGCTTGACTGAGCAGATTTGATTAAAAAAAAGAGTAAAATCACATCACTCGCTAAATGTCAAAGACAAGGTAAGAGACACAGATGGGAATATATGCACACACTTACGTCCATGAATTCAGCACTGGATCCAACAAACTCTCTGAAACAGAGCAGGAAGTTTTCCTCTGTGGGCAGAATCTGGGCCAACTATTGAAGGAGATGGGAAGTGGGTTTTGAGAAATAAAAAAGAATGAAATAAGGATAAAAGTCAACTATAGGATTTAGTTTGCCAATATATAATGTGTCTAAGTTGTTTGTCCTTTTTAAATTGAGATATTAGTTAGCATGAGAAAATATAGAAAGCACAGCCAATACAAGAATTTATAGAAATATTTGAGTATCTTGGAATATATCCGAAAAGACGTATTCCTACCTCTGACATCTCAATTCTGCCATCAGAATTCTTGTCAAATTTGGCCATGAACTCCTTCATCTTTTCCTTGAATATAGCATGTGAGGGATCCTGCAAACACATCACATCATTCATATTTAAAATATATAAACTATGCCAGCCCACACTATCTTTACAGCGTAATGTTAATCTGAAACAGTAACCCAGTCTTCTCAACTCTAATGGAAATGAATCCATAAAGGATCACATTTCCTGTTCAAGACTTTCTTTTCCTAAAAGTTGCATACTTAATTTCTTTCTATTTCCTTGAGCTTTCAATGTTAAAACATCAGGGAAAGTACACTATACTACAAAACAGAATAAATAGAATTAGTTGGAAACGTCTGAGAAACCCACCCTCCCACCCCCCGTAGCCTCTGTGTCACATGAGTTCATCTGTGAATGAATGGGTGTGAAATGCTCTTGATGGTCGACAAAACTATAAACCTGCTTATTGATTGTCATCTTTAGCGTTAGTCGTTTTTTCTTAATCATTACATTTTTATTTCAAGCATCACTATACTACACTAAGCTTCTACTTCTTTAAACATACTATTGTAATGCTGCTTTATCAATCACTTTTATTTAGCTTTTTACGGTTTAAAAGTATTCTTTCGTGCCAGTTTTAGTCTTTCTACAAACATCTGGGCACTCAGGGCCACTAAATATCAATCATGAGATCAATGAAAACTACAACTGACAGACAACTCTCATTCCATCAAATAATGGACTTAAGTGGAAAGAACGAGTGTGATCCTGATATTTGTCAAACCCAACAGCAGTGCGACTGTTTAGTGCTATGAATAACAAACTCACCATGCCTGCTCCTCGCCGTGCAGTTTCCAGCTCTGTGAAGAAGTTTTCCAGCTCCTTCCCTTCAATGTATCCATTTCCTGAAGAAAAATACTATATTAGTTTTCACACATTATGTTAAGAAACTTTAAAATAGGCCTCAGTCTTGCTGACTGTTCAAAGGTTTGATGAAAGACTTCGATGTGAAAGAAAGATTAATGGTTACAAATGGTCGTTCAATTTTGGAAGAGGTGTCAAACCCTGAGCACCAGTTCTACCACAAGTCCTCTGAGATTACGAAATCACTTTACAAGATAATGCAGAGTGCATTTACACTTAAAGCTGTACTCAAGTCAAAAGGACTATTTCTGACATTTAGCTCTCTTAAGCCTCAGTTCAACGCACAAGTCATGCCTCAAGTGAATCCTTGAGCTTTGTGATAGTAAGAAAATATTTTCAGATGTTACTTCATGCCAACACTACATTTAACGTAAAAGTTACATTGATTAAATACCAATGATGGCAAATACAAGGTCGTCTCTGGAAGGTGTCATGTATTTCGATCAAAATTGGCATTTAACTGCAGAATGGACTATAAAGATATGTGTGCTGCAGCTGGAATTAACACACACATTGAGCAGGAAGTGGCACTGGAGTGTAAGCAGAATAATGAGCATTTTCTTGCCAGGAAGGGCGAAAGTCGGCAGTTGGTTTGATGCTTATTGGGGCGTTCTGTCCCTCTGTCTCCACTTGAACTACTTTTAACACTCAAATAACACGGTATATTCTAATTTAATAGTGTACTCCATGCGGTACAGTTAATGTTCTGTTTTTAATCTTAAAGAGAGCCTCGCCTGTCATCAGTCTTAGCAGGGACTAATATAAAAAATATCTGAATTTAAAAAAAAGCAGAAAGTGAACTGCACAAGTTGTAGATTCATCACACTATCTTTCCTCATCTCTTAATCCCTCAGCCTCTCATCTCCTTTATTTTTTATCTTTATCGCCCTCATTTTTCCCCTTACTGCCCAGCTTCATTTGCACGCTGTGGCTGATAAGGACTCCCATCTGTGCTTTGGATGAGCTGGCATTGCAGACATAAACAAATCAGTGTAGGAGCACAACGCTCGCGGTGCGAAAACAAAGTATGCGTCACAGCCTTTATAGAGTCTGAAATTAATCTTCGGTTCACTTTCACTTTGCTTTCATTATTCATAACTTCTAATCACCACGCAGACTTTACATTTGAAAAATGGCCAAAAAACACTTGTCAGCAGTGACATAAGACTGATGGTTTTAGAAATCACCCAGCATCTGACTTATTTTAATCAAAGGAAACACAAATGCATTAGTGCATGGCATGCTATACCTTAACACCTATTAGGAATGTGGACATTTATCATATTTTTGCCTTACACAAAGAGTTGCCTTTGATCTTTAATGGAAAGTAGCTGAAATCTCTTAGAAAAGTTGTTAAATGTTGCCAGATGTGGTTTTGTGCTCATTGCCATATTCGTGGAAACATGACATTTTATTTGCATTCTCTCCTTGTGGCAGCATGTGACATCTGTTTGCCTCTCTTCTGCCCTTTGTTTTTATATAAACTACAATTCATTACAGCTGGATTCCCAATAAAGTTGCTCTAATTAACACATTGGCAGTTTATTTTGTGTAAAAAGAATAGAATGGCACTTGGTGAAAAGAAGCCCTTAATGACCTGACCAAGTACTTTGAACCACTATACAAAATCATTCTTTAACTAAGAAATAACCTGAAATAATAATTTCAGATGCAGTTAATAATTGATAGGAGGAGGTGTGTTGTGATTTCAGATATATTTCCGTCAATGTTGACCATACAGAGACCGTCAAGAAAGCTCTTTTCTTGACATTGCAACATATTTTACCGTTTGCCAACATGAATCACCAAGACACATAGTACACACGGATCCATGTATTACAGTACTGTCACATTTCAGGATTAAAACACATTAGATGAGAGCATTTTGCCAGACTGTTGCTTTACACTGCATCATGTGATGGGAACTATAACACATGTGCAAAACACACTTTTCGACTCTTGCGCACTTATGCAACCAGAACCATGTATTTAAAAAGCTAACTCCCACCATTCACCAACAAGAGGGAAGCTAAGAAGAGAAAGAACTGTCAAGCGTAATACTGAACCACTGAACCCCTCCATCACCTTTGCAGGTTCCTTTGCGCAAGTCAACAGTGTGTCAGCATAAACACTCGGTAAAACGGCAAAAACGACGCAGGAAAAATAAGAACTTTGGAGACTTTTGAGCTCCTTGAACCTTTTCACTTTAGTGAAATTCAGTGACTGAAATGGTATTAAGGCTAAAGCAGAAATGTGAGCGAATGTTTTGTGTCTTCTGCTGCGTCACCCTTCAGCTGACAGGGTTGTGTCCCCCTCTAATGGATATCCACATATTCCAACACCCAGACAACTAATGGAGGCTGGGACTCTCTCTGTTGTACCGACTATATTATTTGAATTTCCAAGTATTCAGAAACACATATCACAGTCATGTTGTACCTTTGGGAATTTGAATCGGTGCTACATCTCCTTATCTCTATGCACACAAAGCTAGGTAAAAAATGACTTCTCAGAACTTCCTTGTGTGTTAAATGGTGGTTCATGCGATTAAAGTGATGTACAAATTTTATTATGGCGAGGACTAATCATTCCTATTTAGTTCAGGCCATGATTCTGACCCTCTACTTAAGGATTGTATTACCGTCCTCACCCTGAGTACCACTGAAGATGCGCATCTGAGTAGTTCACTCTCCCCATTAACCTCTACAGACAAGCGTCTGTCTGAGTCTGAAGAACATTTGATCGACTGCCACTCTGACATTTGTTTAAATCCATTTGTGACCCTGTTTCTGCCACTCCCAAAAAGTCAGAATGTCGGATATCTCCCAGTACATGAGAAGATAGTAGTGTGTGACTTTTGCAAAGCTTTGGCCATCTTCTGAACAATCAGCACTGTCCTCTTGATGAAGGTAAAAGGACTCCAGTGCTGGCTGGACTGGACTGCGCACTCAGGCGCTGCTGCAGTGATGCATCACACCTGGCCTGCCTCTCATTCCACCAGACGATTATCTCGCACAATCTCCCAGCATGCTGGAATTACCAATATCTCCTCAGGAAAACAAAGTCAGAGGGAATGACGGGATTGGAGCTTGAAGATAACAAATTCGTATAATCTTTAGCAAAGATTGAGAACCATTTCAAATATGAAAAATGAATGAGGGCCATGGTTCCAGTGAAGGCAAACCAGCTTTAGTGTTGGGATAAACAGGATATGAACCATATGGCTATATTGTTCAATGTTTTTAAAAAATCTGGCGAGTTTGCTCAGCGGGGGGTTGAAAAGGGGTTTAACTATATATAGGTCAGTGCTTCCTCTGAATGGCAGCAGAAACTAATCTTTATTAAGTTACAGGATGGGAATCGCTGAAGCTGGAGTGGCCCATACTGGGAGAGAAGAACAATGACAGCCCTCTTCAGTCCGACTTCCAATCCAGAGAATGAATAATCCAAGCCGAGATGGCACTGGGGAAGGACCCAAGTGCAGGTGTACTTTTCTTCACTGTATTTCAGTTTTTCTTTTAAAATCATTCTGCTAAATTTAACCTTGGCTAATCACTAAGACTTAAGTGTTTTAGACACCTTTTGTTTTACACACATTTTGTTGTTATAAAAGATACATGACCATTTTGATTTTATTTAATTTATTATTATTTTCTGCCTTACAACTCTTACTTTTAATGAAATTTTGTTGTTTAATCTTTAATGCAAAGCAGTTTGAATAGTCTTGTGCGTGACTTGTGCTATACGAATAGATTTACGTTGTCTAGCTTTTTCTGTCCTTCAGGGTCTTTGACCTTTGAATCATTTGACCTAATCAGCTGTAACCAACAATAAGATTTTTGTAATAAGAATATTCTGTCAGGACCATCTTGCTTAGCATTAAGTATCTTCTGTGATGTGCCTATAACTAATTAAGTCAAACACTAAATATCAAGTCATGTGCATTAACTGCCAACAGAATTAGTAATTAATGATGACATGATTTTCATGAAAAAAGGCTTGAAATGTGAGCTTTTTTTTGGTTTATTTGTTTGTTTGTTTGTTGTTTATTAAGGACAGATTTTCCTCCAGTTATGTGCAGTTATGTGTTGGCATACTAACCCATACATAGAAACTGCATACCACCTCCAGTGCATTCCCAGTAAGATCTCTGATTTAGAAGCTCCGCCCAACACAATCTAAGAGAACACAGTTACCTTTCCCTCCCTAAATCCAAGCTTCTGTCTTTATTTCATCCTTCCCTCCCCTTTAACTCTCCCTCCCCCATTATTCGTCCTTCTTTCTCCTATTCTCTCTCCCATCTCATCTTTTCACGCTTTCCTCCCCCCTCTTTTTTCAGCCTCTAGTAGATTCAACGGTTATGGATAATTTGCGTAACTATTCTTTAAAAAAAAAAAAAACACCTGCACGAAAAAATTAAGTTGATTTCCCAAATAAAATTGAAAATAGGAGATAGAATTTGAAATCACTAATTTGTATTGTAAAACAAAAAAAACAAAACTAAACATGATAACACATTTTAAAAACGTTTTGCTTTTGAAGAAAAAAAACAAAGAAATGTCCGAAACCATTTTTTTATATATGCATACAATTTTTTACCGTCTAACAAACAGTAATTGATTAACTGACCGTCTGCATCAAAATGTTTCCAGATGTCGATGAACTGCGCTGCAGTGAGCTCAGCCAGGGTCAGTTGGGGCAGCTGTTCCGCCTGAGTTGCCATTTCTGGGTTTTTTTTTTCCTCCTCGGATACGTGGGCTGTACTTGGAGATGAAACTTTTCCCGGTGCGGAGCTGCTCAGTTGTGGGGAGCGCCTCCTCAGCCGGAGCTTTTAAACCCACTGCTGGTTCCGCGCTTCTCCCACTCGCCACAAGGGGGCGCATGCTCCGAGAAGAGTGCTCCCACACTTCAACTGCATGAGAAGACTGACACACAGGGGAGAGGGAGGGAGGGGGGAGGGGGAGGGAGGGGGGCGAGCCTCCCCTGAGGTTTGCATTTGAGTTACTATAAACTGCTTCTTAGGCAGGTTGGTTTGATAACCGGATTGTATACATCATCTAATCATGGTGCTCTGTTAAGTAGAAAATTCCATCACACCCGTCACTCTATATGGGCTCTCTGCTGGCACCCTATTGCGAATGAGCGGAATAGAAAATGGATGGATAGATCTCTGCTGTCTTCAGAGAATCCCCAACGATCTGAATCCACCTGTCCCCAGCCGCTCACACCCCTGTACTATGAACCATCAGATAAAGCTGGAATCAACCCTGATGTTTTACCAGAGGTTCCAACCCTTACCTTCAAATGTGCAGTGATGTGCATGTTAGGGCTCAAAAGAATATGCAATTCCTTCCTAATCACCACTTTTTTAAATCTTTACAATGCCCACTCTCGACCTATGTCTTGTGTTTTTCAGAGAAAACCTTATTCTCCTCTTGCTGTAAATCTGAGCACCATAGCCTAAAAAAAAGGAAACATCCTTATTCAGTTTTTTCAATGGACTTATCCCATTATCCCATCCTCCCTTCTTAACGTGTCAGCACTGGATGGTAGAAGGGATGGGTGGTGGTACTGGGGAGGGGGGATTTCATGGGGAGGATGTGGAGGATAAAAACGACCTTATCTGTAGAGCTGCACGTTTCTGTGCAGAGAGAAACAGAAGAAGAAGAAAACACGGAGTTTACCAACGCAGATAAGTGTGTATGTGTGAATCTTTTAAATGTGGCATAACTGCACATATAACGTATGAGTGGAAAACAGAAGCAGAAGTTGGAAAGAGGTACATATTCAAAGGTACCACACTTACAATGTCTAAACTGTGAATAAAAACTAAAGATCACTCGTATTTGAATGTATTAGAGGTGTGAGTGAGGGCATGAATCAAAGCCATACAGGGATGAGAATAACAACAATGGTCATGGGACAGATGTTAATGGGCCACTGATCATTATTATAATGAGACGTGTCACTCGGTTATAGACTATGCGTGTGTGGCGAATACACACGCACACATATTATAAATTAAATGATGAGAGCTGCAGTGTAAGCTTTCTGTGCCTGGCATACTTTACCTGATCACACACTATGGATAACTATGCAATCCTGTTAATGGTTTGTTAAATACATCCTGAAATTTAGATTAGCTAAAGTGGCATAATGCTAATATCTAACCCGGAAAGTGAAATCAGACTGAGGAAAAAACACTCAGGAGTGTGAGAGACTTTTCATTAAAGCAGTGACAGCTCAGCAACTTTGGTTTAATGCAGGATCAAGTTTGCAAATCCTGCTCAAGTTCATATATAAAAAGAGCAGATTATGGCACGTGAAATATGATGAAATGACAACCTGTTCTGACTTGTGCAAAACATGCAGAATATGCAAAACATATTCTACATTGAATAAAATAAGACACAGGTTTAAATGGTGCTTTGATAGTTTTTGTTGATCATATCCTCCTGTTTGCTTTTTAGCCGTTTGCATGTTTTATTTCAAGAGGAAACAAAATCCTATGCCACATTTTAACTCCTATATCACCTCAGCCTATGTGTCTTTTTTAAGCGCTTTTTATTTTTCTAACAATGAAGGCTGGCATTGTGAATGAAATCTATTTGCTGGTATTTGTTTTCTTCCCTGCTTTAATCTTACAGCCCACATTTCAAGCAAAAGCTGTGTTGTCATGTTGCTGTACAGGCTCGAAGATTTGCCTCCAATTCATTCATGTTCACAAACATCAGTGCAGAGGTGACAGAGTGTCAGAACTAGGAGCAGAGGTCAACATGAAATATGAATCTTTGAGAGGAGTAACATTTATTTTCCTTCAGGAGATTTGTGAAGTTAATGTAATACAACACTGAGTAAAGGAGGGGGAGGGAACATATTTCATTAAACATTAGTGCTCTCTGGATCACACAAATGCATTAGATGCAGCTGTTCGACTCCCTTTTTTTGTTTAAACCTAGCCTCTGGCTGCTGCTGCTCATCGGCAGTGAGAAAAATTCAGCTGCTAGATAACATGAATAAGTACAAGAAGCCTTAATGTTTTTTTGTTGAAAATGAACGTGGAAGACGTTAACCAGTCTGTGCTGCAAAGTGTGCACATTTGATTCAAAGCTATATGTGTGTGTGGCAGAAAAAAAGCTGTGCGATAAGTAACCTCCAGCATGTTGTTTTGCCTGTGCCTGATTCTAATGTCTGATCAGCATGCACAGCGATAAGCTGACCCACCTGGCACGATAAACGCAGTGGACAGAAAATAAAGAGGTCAAAAAAAGTAAAACACAGCTTTTTTTATTTTTTTATTCAGTCCTGCAGATGTAATGTATTGTGATATCAGTTCATTTAGCTTTTCTGGCTGATTTTTTTTTTTAAAGGCACAAAATGTGCAGTTAAAGCCAAATTTGGTGTAAAGTAATACTGACTTGTGGATTAATTACACCGAATGACATGAAAAGTAAGCTGAGTAAGCTTCCCAGCTTTAATACTGAGATGTGCATGCCAATACTTTGTCCCTGGAGAATGGAAAAGCACTGGTTAAACATCTTGCTCCAGATGATTATGGAGACCTTTAAATGGAGAAGACATTAAGCTTCAACCAAACTGAATTTTGTATTGCAAGGCAATCAGTAACAACTGCCTATGAATGTGTACAATGTAAATCTTACAAAATAAATCTTTTTTAAAAATTAGTAAAAAATTCGAATTGAACAAAGGACAAAAAAGACCATTATGAGTAACATCCTCAGCATACCAAGCAACTCCACAAAAACTATCTAGAGCTGTGAGATATTTGTAGCTATGGGTCTGTTAGATTTCCACTGAGCTCAGAGTAAATTAAACTCTGTAGGTACAGTATGTAAAGGCTCTGCTTTAGTCTGCATGCTCTTTCTGTGTATACATAGGTTCTCTCGAGACACTGGTGCCATAAACGCAATGTGGCTTCCTCCCACAGTAAAAAAAAAAAAAACGTTCTGTTGACTGGCGACTCTAATTTGACCAGAGGAGTTTGACTGTTTGTGCGTGCAGATTTATCTGCCTCCTTCCTTCCTGTGACCCTGTGACACTCTGGCAACCTGAACAGGTTGTGCCCTGCCTCACAGTGACAGCTGGGATGTACTCCAGCCGCTTTCAAGCCCATGAACAGCGTTACAAAAAATGTTATAACACTGTTGATCTTAGGTTTTTCTGCCTAAGCTACTTTAATTTCACATCAAAGTGGTATCATACAGTAGCAGGACAAAAGTGTTTGACATAAAGAAAAGAAAGAAAATCCCAAAGTCAGAACCAATCCAGTCTAGGGGGGTGGTGTATATATTTTGATAGTGTGCGGAAAAATCTAAAGTACATTTTGACCAAATTGATTTCAGAGAGAGTCGTTATTTCCTATCTTGTTTTTCAATCATTAGTGCAAAAACTTGATTTACTGGTAACTTCCGGAGAGCAGTCGAAGACAGCAGGCAGCTTTTCCTCCGAGGGATTTTGCAAAAAAGTGTAAGAAGTATCACCTTTAATGTGGTCTGACAGCATGCCCTACTCATTCCATCACACACCGAAATGCCCACAGGCAAACTATTAGCGGTTAGAATGGGTAAGAATCATTCATTTGTTAGCGTGTTATCATTCACTGATTTGTAATTCACAAAAGTGCACTCTCTTGAAATGAGCTGATGGACATGGTGAAATTTTGATTTGATGAAGAGGCCTGACATTAAGTTTTATAGCCTAAAATGCACTCAAATAAAAACAATTCAGAAAAGATGAAAGAGTTATCCAGACTCATTTAGATCTGAGGTCATAAATAACGACTATCCTTCCATTTCCGAGCATGTAAGGATCAAACAGTTGGGACAATCAGACAATATCAGTGTTCTGCATTTCTAGATATGTTAAATTAAGCTCAATGACACGCAACCTAATGACATGACAGGGATGAGCAGGGAGACTGCTTTACGTTAATTGTGGCAAAGAATAAGCAGCTTATGCAGCTCATGCTTGAGTGGTTCATGGACCAGTCACAACACTGACATTATTGTCCATCAGATACAGCGACGAGTAGGTTCATGCCCCGGAATATGGGACCAGACACCTTCAGAAATAAATCATGTTCTCCGTTATGGGGATTGATTATTTCACTACAGGCACAGTCCTCCACTTTCATACGCAGCAGAAAGCAGCAGAGAAACTGCACACCAGTGCTTACAGCAACATGCATTTACTAATGACATCTTTAGGACATATAGAGGGCATACAGTTCAGTAGATAATCTCTTTCTGAAATCTGTGAGGCTATGCCGTCAAATCTGTGTGGATAACAACGCCATGTCCCACGTAATTGTTTGTCTAACCCACTTTTTATCATCAGTTCCACCTGCTTCTTGATAAACCCCCTTTAACTAAATAACAATCAAAATGCCAACAGGCTCGAACCTTTCTATCGTGTAGTTTATCAGGGGTATCAGTGGAAATGTATCACTGGAATAACCATTTGTACAAAAGACCTCCTCACTGTGAAGCATCAGAAGCTGCATAATCATCTGCTCTATAGAGCAAGGAAAACTAAAAGAATGTGCTGTTGGTAGGAATGAAAATCACAGTGGGATTATCCATGTGGAAGTGTGCATGTACATTTAATCAGGCTCTCTGGGTCCCTCTGCCACATATTGAGTCTTGTATTAATATGGCGGAGCAGCAGTCACAGGGGGAGCGTACAACTTGTGTGAATTAGAGTGACAGGGTGCCTCATCGTAGAAATCAGCCACTTTTGTCACTTTATTAGCACATTTTGGACTGAGCGGTTGTGCAGTCATCATAGATAGAAAC